AATGTATGTATGGATAGTAAAATAGAGGACCAAATAGACAAGGAAAGAATCTCAAAGGTGAATTGGCAAGTTTTTGGTAGAGATGGCCAATGGAACGAATCGAATCAATTCGTCTCTGTCTCGTACGAATCCAGAACGAGACACATTGGACTCATCTCATTTTGAATACGTACGAGACGAATCCGATAACCTAGTCACGAACTGAGCCTTAGACCCAATTTTTGACCCATCTCATGGCGAGACGATTTAGACTTGTCTCACCACGAGACTAACAAATTGGGCCTTTTCCCGATTTTCCTTTATTTTTCCCTCTTATTTTTTGTTCTTCAAATTTTTTCTCTAGACTAATATCATTTTATATTATTATTTATGTATTTTATATTTTATAATAATGGGATACAAGTGCACCAATTACAAGAAATATGGAGAAATAAATAGAAAAAATTGTTTATTTCATAAAATAATAATAGATTCACTTCACGTAATCATTGACAAAACATTGGGATAAAAAAAACTTTATTAAGGGGAGAAATGTAAGCTCTCAATGAATTTTCGAGGCTCCTGAGAAATACCCAAAAGAAGAGTCGTAGTGCTCCATAATGTGAGACGTTGTAAATACTAGAGGGAGAAAAATATGAGAGTTGATATTGTAGTAGAAGATGAGATTTTTAGTTGTGAAGAATGAACGAGATTTAGACTAGGGGGATATTCATAGGATTGGGGGTGTGTGGGTTAGGGTTTCCGCTATTGGCTGAGCCCCACTGCTCCCCCCCTGCCCCAAAGACGGCTCAATCGTAATAGCCTCTCACTCTTCAATGACTCTTTTTTGAGCTGTTATGGACCTTAAAAATATTTTGAACTCCCTGTTAATTTGGCAGCCTCTCTCTCTTTTTTTAGCCATTGGGGGCCTTTAAATTTTTTTAAACTTTTTACCTGACTGTTAGTTTTTTTATCTAAGCAATACTTGTATAGAAGGACTTTTAAAAAAATTACTATTGGGGGTTGGTCTAAATTTACCCTGACCCAACTCGTCTCATGAGTCGTGACAAGACGATTCAAACTCGTCTGGTTTACTGTTCACTCGTCTCATAAAAAAGTTGGGTCTATACTCGTCTCGTACCTATTTGAATCTGGTTTGTGCAGGTTCACGGGACTAATTTGAGCGGGTTGAAATGGTTCAACCCACCCCGTTGGCTATCTCTAATTTTTTTTTATCAAAGCAAGATTTGAAATTAAAAGTTAGGTGTATGAAGCTCTTGTAGGTTTTAGTATAAGGAATGATGTATTACCTGAAGATCTCATAACTGTTATTTTTGGTCCGTTAGATCTGTATATATAAAGAAACACTCACAATGCCTTAGGTTTGAAAAAAAATCGTAATTGCATTAGATCTAATAACATGAAGATTTAACTGAAAAATAAATATAAAATGAAGATTGGTTTTAGCATAAGGGGTCATGTATTACTTGAAGATTGGTTTTCGTATAAAGGAGTCATATATTACCTGAAGATCTCATAATGTTCTGATCTCATAACTGTTATTTTTGGTCCGTAAGATCTGTATATATAAAGAAACACTCACAATCCCTTAGGTTTGAAAAAAAATCGTAATTGCATTAGATCTAATAATATGAAGATTCTACTGAAAAATAAAAATAATATGAAGATTGGTTTTAGCATAAGGAGTCATGTATTACTTGAAGATTGATTTTAGTATAAAGGAGTCATATATTACCTGAAGATCTCATAATGTTCTTTTTGGTCCATTAGATCTCTATATATAAAGAAACACTCATAATGTCTTAGATTTGAGAAAAAGGAATTCTAATATCTAAATGATGCAAGACTACTTTATCTAAGATTCTATAGAGCATGAAGCATTGTTGTGTATTTCGGTTAAAAAAAGGAATTTTCTGTGAAATGTTAATGGTATATAGAAAACTCATATGTAATTCCCTAAAAGTTATTTCTTCAGAGATAGAAAATGACATGAAATCTTTTCCAAGTTAAGGGAATTCTTTAGTTCAGGGAATGTATTATCATAGGATAATGTATAAATAAACTATTCTGAGAAAAAAAATGTTTTGAGAAAAAATTGTTATACTGAACAAAAGTTTTTCTAATGTGCACAAAAATAGCAATAAACAGTGAAAGGTGGATTTATTATAAATCAATATAAAGATATTAAAATAAATTTAAACTACTGGGCAAAGAGCTACCTATAGAAATTAAAATCCTTTCAATTACACTCTTTGACATTGTAATCCTCTGATGCAATAATTAATATTTTGTGTGTCTGTCTTAACTCAAACATATTCTTCTTGCTTTTACACAATCTCATGGATTATTAGTCTTCTTTTTAGGTATATGTGCATATATGCATAATTGTTATTAGGGCTTGATTATTATGAGATGACGACTTATTTAGCAAAATGAGCTACCACGAGACAGAGGAGGTGAGACCTCACATTTTGATATGACTTTTTTGGTGGGCTTCACCACATGTCTATCTTTCAGTAGCTCATTTAGCAAAATGAGCCGTCACTTCATACCCATTGTTGGTTAGAAAACAGTATTCACATATTGTAAGCTATATAGAAAATGATATAGAATCTTTCTCCTCATATGTGATTTCATCGAGTTGTTTCTTGCACAACTAGAAAGAGGTACATCTGTCCTTGTATCTTTTCATAATTTTGAACAAGGGAGTCATGCATAATTCCTTCCATAGGAAAGTGAGGGCTTTCATTAGCTGATGATCAGAGTGTGTCTGTGTCTATAGCTAATGTGTTTTTCCTTTTAGACTTGTTGTGTTAAAGCTCATTTTTCCACCTGAATGTACCTATTTCATTTCAAAATTAACAATGCTGACATCTTGATGGACACAAGGTTCGTGAATCTGCTAAAGAAATAAATGCATGGGCTGAAAGTCAAACCAATGGACTCATTAAGCAGATTTTGCCGCTCAACGACCTGCATGATGGAACTATGGTCGTTCTTGTCAATGCACTCTATTTCAAAGGAAAATGGCTATATGAGTTCGACACCGAAGATACAGAGGACAAAGAATTTCACCTCCTCAATGGAACCAGCAAACAAGTACCCTTCATGCATATAGCTTGTGGTTCCTATCAGTATATTGCACAGTTTACTGGCTTCAAAGTACTCAAACTTCGCTACAAACCAAACGAAGCTTGGCGTGAATTCTCCATGCTAATTTTCCTCCCTAACGAGATAGATGGGCTTAAAGATCTCATCCAAAAGGCCGTCTCTGATCCTAATTTCTTCAATCATTATTGTCCGACAAACTTAGTCAAAGTTCGCAAGTTTAGAATACCCAAGTTCAAAATCTCGTGTGCATTTAAGCCATCTGATGTCTTGCCTGAACTTGGGCTGGATCTTCCTTTTGACGGACATTGTGCAGATTTGACTGAGACAGTGTTCACTCCTTATCCCAGTTTCAAACTAGTTATTTCGAGAGTGTTTCACAAAGCTACGATTGAAGTAGGAGAGAAGGAAACCGAAGCATCAGCAGCAACATTAGTAAGTGAGGATGACCTGGGCTGTTGCCTGTATGATGAGGTTGAGGAGCCTCCAACAATAGATTTTGTGGCGGATCTTCCCTTCATGTTTGCAATAACAGAGGATCGATGTGGTACGGTTTTGTTCTTGGGCCATGTGGTTGATCCTTCAGTCGATGAAACTGAAATAAAATGATTACGCTGGATACTGCAGAAAGACTCGGGGGTCGGGACTATTGTTAGTTTTTGCGGCTCCAGTAGTCAAGTGACAAGAGCATCTCTTGGGAACTTTGTGAAGTAATGTTTTTGATGTCGTGATATCTTTGGAAACCTTGTCAAGTAATGCTTTTGATATTCTGATAAATTTAGAAGTTATAAGAATCTCCATTTCAGGAAAGAAAAAAAAACAGATGTTTTAATTTTCTGTGTTCTTTGCTGAATTGGTTAGAGAAGCTAAGATTTAGGGGTGTCTGGGGTTTTTTGCTTCTGAGCCCAAAGTTGTACTTCAATTCACCAGAAAACCCACCTTGTTTATTATGTTCTAATTGTTGGGGATTCAAGCTACTCGACCACCTGTCAAATATGAACCCTCATGCGGAATTTTCTCTACCTGATCTTGTTTTAAGACAATAGAAAGAAAAAAACACAGCAAATTAAAAATTTGCAAGAAAAAATAACACCAAGTTTTAACAAGGTTCGACAACTTACCCACGTCCTCGGGAGCCACACAAATAATTTCCTTTAATATAAAGAAGATTACAAGCTGCAAAGAGCAGATCTCAAACTTGAGATCTCTCGATAAATGCAAAGTTATTAATTGTAGCTACAGTATAATAACCCCTCTTAAATCTCTCTTTTATTCCCCTTTACAGTGAGAATCCCCTCTTTAATCCCCCTTTTAATCACCCCCTCAAAACGTTTGAGAGCTGGGGGGGAAGGAGAAAGAGAAGAGAGATTGCCACCGCCTGAAGTCGATCGCGAAGGAGAGAGAGAGGAAGAAGCGGCAACCAGGGGGCTTGGGCTCTGGGTTCCCTTTTATAGGGAAACCCTAGCCAGGCTGGATCCAGGCTGTCCCGCACTCACCTGTGAAGGGGGGACTTCGAGCTCACCTGCAGAAGACCCCGCCTGAAGCTTATTCGCGCTCGCCTGAAGATCTGGTCGTTGACCTCACGTGCTAGCCTCGTCGACCTCGCCTGGAAAATCCCGCTCGAGCTCGTCAGATCTCGGGCTCTCGCTTACACCTTGTCGCATCGACGATCTCGCCTGAAGCCCACCTCGCCTGAGGGAGCTCGACCTCGCCTGAGTCATGTGGCCGCCTCGTCTGAATCTCGTCGTCGACTGGAGCTCGCCTGAAGTCGCTGACAGGTTTGGGTCTACACCTATTTTCCAACAATCTCTCACTTGGAGATCAAACCGCCATCAGCAAGCTCTCTCTTAACAAACATCTTCTCATGTGTGGCTCCGCCCTCATATCTTATGCATGAAGGCCAACTGAAGTTGCGCACAACTGCAGTTTCTAAATGGTGACTGCTTAGTCAACATATCTGCTGGATTTTGGCTCCCCAAAATCTTCTCCAACTATAACTTCTCATCCTCAATCATCGAGCGTATGAAGTGATAACGTAACTCGATATGCTTTGTTCTGACATGAAATACTGGATTCTTGGCAATGTGTCTAGCACTCTGGCTATCATAATAAAGAACTTCGTTCCCCCGTTTCAGACCCAACTCTTCTAGACACACAGTTAACCAAATCATCTCCTTGCTCGCCTCTGTTACTGTGACATACTCTGCCTCAGTTGTGGATAACATCATAATCTTCTGCAAACGTGAGACCCAGCTCACTGCTGTCGATCCTAAGATATAAACATACCCCGTGGTGCTTCGCCTGTGAAGGGGGGACTTCGAGCTCGCTTACAGAAGACTTCGCCTGAAGCTCATCCACGCTCGCCTGAAGATCTGGTCGTTGACCTCGCCTAGAAAATCTCGCTCGAGCTCGCCAGATCTCGGGCCCTCGCCTACACCTTATTGTTGGCCTTCTTGTTTTGATGATGATTTAACAAATAATTTATATCTAATATTATTTGTCTAGGGTTTGTGTTTTATATTTATTCTAGGCAAACAATATGTTGGAGGATGGATGGAATTGCGCATTCACGATCGTATCCAATGGAGGTTGGCGGAATTGTGGAGTGAAGCCTATGCAATTCAAATTAAAGATCCAAGTTTTAGTTTCATCCGCAAGTATACCAAGATAGAGCTTCGTTGAAGATCACAAGCTTGAGTAAATTTAGTTTAGGTTTTATATTATGTGTGTTAGTACTTTAAGCTCAATCATATACACACGTACACGTTTTGGTTTTGTATATATATAGTTATATATAGTTATATATATACATATATGTTTTGGTTTAATAGTTTTCAAGTTTTAATATGAAACAATTGAATATAATTAGAAAACATATTTTTGTACTTACATGTATATATATGATTTCATCAATATCAATTTTATTTAGTTCAATGAAATCATATTTACTTTTGAAATGTTTGCAAAATATGCAATATTGTGGAAATATTATTTTCTTGGTTTATGGACTTAATAACAATCATATACATCTTTTATTAAGTCTATATAATCATTTTGTAATGTTTCAAAACATGGTTAAGCTAAAATATCAAAACTCATATGTTTACATTTTCATGTTTTGGACTATTTTACAAAATGATGATATTTTTCTTTTGGGAAATCCATTTTGAAAAACCAGTTTTTGTAACATGTGTATTATCATGTCTACAATTATTTTTCAAAGTTTTATATTTTTCTGAATTTATTTGAAATTTTTAAACAGGGTTTTTAAATCAGAAAAACAACTTTCAACATGTACTTTTTTGTGTCAGTTTGCGATCGACCGCTACGGTCGACCGCCACAGTCGACCGCCTTGAGTCCAGACACTCAGT